GCAACGATATAAAGTAACTTGTCAACTGTGTAACCGTGAGGGTCATACTGCAAAAGTTTGCCCAAATCGCTACCGATCAGAAAGCGCGTCAGACACATCCTCTACAGCTACTGAGTCTTCTGAAACCATTACAAAGATTTTTGCTAATGGTCGTCTTACATTTACAAAAAAGTCTTGGGATGAAGCATGTAAAAAATTACGTTCCATTCAAGAACCGTAGTTATTTTACCTTACTTACTTATATTCTGTAATGTATTTTGCTAATTTCCCTTATCCATGTATGATATTAGGACATAATGTTTTAATGTGTATTTTATCTCATGACACTTTAATTATAATATTAGGTTATCTTTTTACATTTATATGTTTCAATTATATGTTTTTATATATATTTAGAATATAGAAGTAATTAACTGGTAAAATTTTTATAAAATATTATTTATATAAATTGTAGATCAAAAGTTTGAAACAATTAAGTAAAAAAGGAGAGAAAACAAAAAAAACAAGAACTAGAGCAATAAACAGAAGTCTTAAATACCTATTTTGGTAAAAACAGTTAACAAAAAAAAAAAAGATCATATTCGACAGAAAATGTATTCGACAACTATTCTGTTGAATATATTGATTTATTCGACAGCCAATAGGCTGTTGAATATGCATAATCGACAGCCTATTGACTGTTGATTATGTTTTTTAAATATTCGACAGCATTGCTGTCAAATATATGAGGAACGTCGTCGTTTCCCCTGTATATTCGACAGCAATGCTGTCGAATATACTCGACTTAACCCCCCCCTTTGCCCGTCTTTCCCCCATTTCTTCTTCTTCCCCTGCGGCAGATCTGGTTCGTTTTCTCCGGCCCTGTTCTTGCCGGTGCCGCTGGATTGCAGCTTCTTGCCATCGAGCCCCCTGCTGTGTCACCTTTAAGCCGGTGAGTTGGGCCCTCTATGCAAGTTAGAGAGTGCAGATCTGGAGCTTTTTATTTTTTATTTTTCCTTTGATTTACATTTGGGCATTTGCAGATTTATTTGTAGATCCGTGCATTTTGGTGCAAGATCCATCA